TGAAACACCAATTGTGTTGCTCAGGCAGACCCACAGGTTGCACATTCTCTTTTTCTGGGCATCTTCACAGGACAATCATGCAGCCCAGCAATGAAGAAGACATGTCAGTGGGCTTCACACCCGCACCAGGTAGTGCATACCCAGGATCTAGGCTCTGTAGGGCTCCTGTGGACAGTCAGTCACCTCCACTTCCCCAGGTCTACCTACCAGCATCCAGGTTATTTTCCCTTCCTAGAGAGACTGCCTTCTGGTTTGGAAACTGGGATGAGCTTTCACCAGAGCTATTTTCACAGTGTGGTTATTGTGATCCAGGAAGATGCTAACACCTTCACATTGTGTATTCTCAGGTATCGGAGAAGGGAGCAGTCAGATGGAGAGTGCATCCAGATAAGCAAGAAAACATCACTCTTCAGCTAAAATCCTTTGCAAAGAAGGAAGGGACTTGTCCAGGACTTAGAAGAATAAGAGGTCAGGGAAACCTGAACAGGGAAGGACATAATCAGGAGAAAGAAGTTGAAATCAGAAACACTTTAAGAGTGGATGAAATCAGGTATAAATCAGTCATTCTCTTGCAACATTTCCTTACCAAAATACATTAACTAATAGCTTGTTAACTGTTGCCAGAACAGGCAATCTGATCAATGCTTCATCTGCCAAGTAGAGACCTGTTTAAACCTGGGTTCAAGTCAACAGTGGGAAACACCCCACTTCCTTTTGTCAGCCCACTACACATTGTTTTCCAGAAGTGTTTTTACTAAGCTGCAATTAGTAAAGAAATCCGTTTCCTCTGTTTCATTAAGGAAACCCAGATTAGCAAGGCTTGGGCTGCAATCTTATTCTTAGCAGCCTAGGTCTCTGTCCAGAGAGCCACATTTCCCTCTCACAGGCAGGCTTACTCCTGTTTCCATTTCCTTTGAGCCATCCCTATGTACCCTGCGACAGAAGGACTCTCAGTCTCCAGGGGAGATACCGATCCTTTTGGAACATGGAAGCTGCGCATTGGCTTTCTTCTTCAACATGAGGCTTCAGGTGTTGAGGGGCTAAGAAGTTCACTATCCACAGGTTTTCCTACCAAGGCAGGGCAGACAGCCTGCCTCAGACTCCATCCAGGCAGGCGTTTTGAAGACAAGCCATGAAAGCTGCTGAATGTCAGACGCTTGCCATCCCAGCACTAGCGCTGATGAGCTTTTGGATGAGCTGGAAATGCCATGAAGTGAGTTTCTTCTAGGATACAAAATGATCAGCACACCATTAAGCAGTTGACTGTACAGAAACAAGCTGCGGAAGGCTTTGGATGTTTCCAGATGGATGTTGTGAGGTTAGGGCTACAGAAATAGAAACAAGAAACACCCTATTCATGAAGGAAAACTCACATGAAGTCCCAGAGACAAAGCAGCAGGTGATATCTGTATACAGAAAGTGAATGTTGTTCATTGCATGTCGTCTCAGAAAAACACATTTAAGTGCTCTCAGCTTGAAGCAGAAAGCTCTTTAAAGCCTTTCCAGGTGATATCAACATGCAAATTCTTGTCTAGTGTTGATTCTTCCAATGATTCTGCCTGTCTTAAGGCAAAAGAAAAAGAAAACCCAGACGAGGCCCCCACATCCCATACATCCTCTTAGCTTCTAAAATTATCCTGCACTTCCTTCCTTGATGACTCGCTATGCAGCAGACTTTGACAACAGATGCTGCCATGCTTTCAAAGCAAACAGCCTTTTAGTTAGCAGGGCCGCAGCCAGGTGATGCCAGAGTGAAACAGGCAGGCACATGGGATGACATGACAAAGTCATTCAGAAGCATCCAAATCTCAGACTTCAAACTGGAAATACGCTGTGCAGAAGCAAAATTCATGGATTGCTAATGGATGAGAACAGGATACAACAGAAAACCCAAGGATGCGTTCACCACTTCGTCAGAGGCAGCTGAAGCAGCTGTCCCAACCTCAGGCTGGGTCATCAGTATGGCAAAGCAAAAGAAAAGATCACCCTTACCCTGCCATCAGAAGTGATGATGTTCTTGCAATCTCCCTCTTTCCTAGAAGCCCATTCCTGCTTTCTGAGGTTTTGAAGACCCTCTCTTTTCCATCACCATTGCCATGCATGGAAGCTGAGATCTCCAGCAGACACTTTGCCTTCCTGTGTTGCATGTCAGCACAATTCGAGACTAATAATAACGGCATCCTTGAGCATGTCAGAGTCAAAAGAACACAAAGAGAGGACACAGCTGTAGGAACTAAACAATTCATTGTGACTAGGGAACAAAAGCAAGTATCTTGACAGGTTCTGAGAAGCAGGCTGTCAGCCAGAAAAAGCAACCTTTTACAGCAACCTTGAGTTTTCCCTGAGGAAACATGCTATTCTGCATTTACCTTTTGTGAGGTTAAGGAGGGGTGTCAATCTGCTTTCTTCGAGGTCATTTGACCCTGCTACCATACCTCAGCCCCAGCCCTCACTGCTTGGCTCTTGCCCTACTCTGCCAGCACAACTCACCATGCGAGTGGTGCCAACCAAAACCAACACAGCAAGCAGCCTTTCTACTCTTCTGCCTAGAGAAACCACGGCTGCCCCACACTGTGCTCAGGGCAGCAGTGCTGCTGGCTCACTGCCTTCCCTTTGTGCGTGAAGAGATGACCTGGCTGATCCCAGAGTGCCAGATTCCCAGAAGAAGCCACCAACATGCATGCCTGACCAGCATCCAATAGGAAGTTCTTCAGAAACCATTCTTCAGAAACCATCAGTAGTGGCCATCTCTTTCCCTGAGAAGTCAAGAGTTGGAGTTCATGTTGCAATCTGAAGACCTCTGGAAATCACTGCCTATTCTACCAAGCAGCAGAGATCAGACAAGCAATAAACTGCTGCCTCTCACTGGTGTTGGAAGGCAGGATATAATCCCACAGCGTGCAGCTCCTTGAGGGAGATGGCAGCATTGCCATGTCCTTTTAACTAGATCCAAGCTTCTCACTATCACACCTTTCAAGGAGAAAACCACCACTTGATGCCATGACAAACAAAAACGATTGTGGTTTTACAATTCAGCCCCAAATGCCTTAAAGAATACATCAGGTCACTGCCGCCTTTCCCAAAGGAATTCTTTAAGCACTTAAAGAGCTCCTTTGTGATGTGTTTCTCACCGATTTACAAAAGCTCACAAGCAGTGTGCTATGGAATGAAAGGAAACAGCCTTATGGTCAAAGTTGGTTTATTTGATTTTTGTCTCAGCAAAGGCATTACAGAAAACAGCTCAGCCCGTTCATCAGTAAGCATGCAACTGGAGTTAAAGAACAACGAAGGCGCTAACGTGGTATACACAGAATGCCTCTAAAAATACAAAATGCAATTTTCTGATTGTCTGAAGTTCCTCAAATCTCAAGGGATCAAAAATACTTCTGTAAATGTAGCTCAAAAGTTGGTTTGGGTCATTTTTTCTTAAGCCTGACTTGTAATGAAGCATTCCTAGCATTCCAAACAAGCATAAAAATACACCCACCCCCCCCAAATGAACAGCTGGTGTTAGTCTGGATCAGATTTGTTAGTTTAGTTTTTGTTTAATTAAAAAACGTGGAATATACAAATAAATAAATCATATTGCACCTACAATAGCAATAGCAAACATCACCTCTCACATCCTCAGTAACGCACAAAGACATGTACACACACATAGAGCTTTTTGCCAGACTCTAGCGATGCTGCTGCTCAGGAACCAACAGAACATTGGTTCTGAGAGCTCACTCATAAGTCTTGCACTCTGTGGGTTGTGTAGATTGACAGTTTGTACCCTTAGTAAACATATGACATAAAAAGCACAATCCAAACTACCCTGCACTTAGTAAGAGGGAATAGTTCAGATGCACAAACAGACGTTAATCAAGCCCAAACAACAAGAGGGTACTGCAGTGTTCCCAACATGATGGCAAACATTCAGACAGAAGGAAGGCTGAGAAACACCTTAAACATTAGCACTCATCAGAACAGAATCACCAGAGGACCCCTCCGGGCCTCCCATCTGTCTGTGGTGTCAGTAGAACGGGCCACAGTTGTATGCCCAGAGGTAGGCATGGTTTTAGCAACGTTTGCTAGTGAAGGGGGCACAGAGCCCTGCCAAGGCACTGGGAGGCTGTCGTGGTTTAACACCAGCCAACAACTAAGCACTACACAGCCTCTGCTCACTCCCCTGTGGGATGGGGAAGGGTTGGAGGAGTAGCCTCATACTAGAGCCTATAAAGAAAATTAACTCTATCGCAGCCAAAACCAGCACAGAGGAAGAGTTGAGGCTCTGCCCCTTACAAATAGGATATGCTGCAAGGCAGTGGCCAGGAGCATGCTGCTCTCACAAGCACAGCAAGCAGTGGGGTCAGGCAATTGGAGCATAAAGCATGGAAGTGGGCAGGTCAACAGGTCTGAGCAGGCACTGAGGAGCAGCTGAGGGTGGACAACAGAGTGAGGAGCTCCAATCCTACCTAGGGCAGGAGCAGAGTTAGGTCCCAGTTCGTAAGAGTGATGCAGTGTCTTTATCTGCTGCCAAAACCAGGGCAAAGCAGTAAATTCAACTTCTGTAAGACTTCCCATTGATACCATTACATTCACAGCAGTGACATGCAATAGCTGGGGGTATAACATCCCCCCCAAAAAAGTCCAAGTCTGGAATAATGGCTTTTGGGCCAGCAGAGCAATTTGTCTGTGTTTAAAGACACCACAGAAAAGGATGAGGACTGAAGACTATTTGGAACAGTGCATAAAGCAACCATGAGAACTAGTGGCAAACCTAGTCCATGCATTATGACACCCAAGCAAGCAGCAGACTGGGTACTAACAGTTGTTCCAGAAAAAAAATAGAGAAATAGAATGAAATAGGAAGGAAAGGGAAGAGGCAAAACCAAAGAAAAAATAGGGATAATTCCACTAGGCTTTGCTTCCATTTCCTCCTCAATTACATGTTAAAAAATACATAAACATAAAATAACCAAACAACCAAAATCCCCCATCCCAAACAACCAAAATCCCCCAACCCAAACAACAAAACCCCAGGGTTAGAAAGAAAAACTAGATAAATAAATTACTTATAACCCCTTTTTTTCCCAAACTGTGGCTGCTACTGCCTTGAATCTGTCACCTGCTTGGAGCCCTACTGCTCTTCCCCAGTAACTTCAGCAGATTTGGTGTGGCTGGAGTCCTGTGGTTTTGAGTCCAGCAGGTTTCTCTAGAAAGAGTTAAGCAATGGTTGTTGGCACATTCATGCATTCACTGGGGAAAAGGAGTTGGATTAGCTGGATAGGAGACGGGAAACAGGCTGTCAGGAAGAGGGCAATGAACGCAGAGCTGCTGCAAGTTCACTTGCAGCGATGTTGGTAAAAACTAAATCCCTCTACTGCAAGAGCAATTAGACACTGGAAGAGGATTCCCAGAGACTTTGCAGAGCCTCCATCCATGGACATTGTCAAAACTCCATTGGAAGAAGGCAAATACATTTAGCATGGCAGCACATTTTGCAAGCATGGCACAAGCAAAGTAGATCTTGCCTGGCAGCTGAGGAGCAGGCTAAGTGGTTCCTCTGGCCCTACCTTTTATAATTAAGCATCTAGACTGGATAACAAACATTGTGCTGTTCTTTTCAAGCGAGTGATCCAACTCAGTATCTAGACAGGGCAGTGTACGTGGTACATTTCTGTTTTACTGTTGTTTATTTCTAGCTAGTCAAGTCACTGCTTGTAATGCTTGGCTTCAGGCTCGTGGGTTGTAATGATGGGGTAGGTGAATGGAAATCTTCTAGGATCCTAAAAAACAAAGGAAAAACAGGAAAAAAGGATGAATCATGGCCATTGTGCTGCTTATTCAGGTCTTGCTGGGTGGTGGTGGGGAAATGCACAGTGGGAAAACTGGGGAGGAACAGTCACAAAAATGTCCTTTGGTGAACAACCATAGGACCTTCCCTGCTGCACAATGAGTAGTGAATCTTCCTAAAGTACAACAAAACAGGCTTCAGCCTGTTGCTGGACAGGCTGCAATCATCTCGCTCCCTGCGGATGATACCTTGCCTTAAATATAAGCAACTTACTGCCAGCATGGAAAACAGCCCCTCCATGACTTCTTAAATGGGACACTTTGAGGGATGTTCCAAGAACAAAACAGTCTTAAAATTGGTGGGGAAAAAAAACCCCAATACTTTCTTTCTCTCCCATTTTCTCCTTAAGCAATAGAGACTCCTTTGGGAGCATTTCATGAGAAAGCCTGAAAAGAAGTTATGAAGACGTCATGCTATACATTACGCAGCAGCGTTTTATCTTGGGTGGGGATAAACTACCCAGCCCACCAACATCCCATTCAAAGGGCATTTACTACAAACACCAAGGCAGGAGCTGCCTTCAAACTATTTCACCTTGGGAGGAAGCCATGCGATCCTGCTTGGCAGTAGCTGCCAAAAGCCATTACCAGTGTAGAGTAAGAGTACTCTGCCGAAAAAGCCCAAGTAGACTGTGTTACATAAGATACCCATTTACCTGTGAATTTCAGTTTATGATCCCTGAATTCGGTCTTGCAGTTACCACAGTACAGCCACAACAACAAACATATATTCTAAAGTAAAATTTATAAGTAGATTTTTAAGTGGATTTTAGTTAAGGAAATTAATGACAATAGAGAAAGAGAAAACAGAACTACATTGAGAAATGGAAATCAAAGCCTTTTGCCTGATGATTTCAATCACCAAGACTAAAAAATCAGCCCAGCTTACAGCACTCTATAAAAGTGCCATATCTTTTTTGTCTCCCTCTCCTTTAAGATGGTCTTCCCCCCCCCCCAAGCTATTCTAAATCACTCTACAGCTCTGATTACAGTGCCTAGAGATGTGGTTAAAAAAAGACTAATAGTCTTTGCCCCTGGGCTTGCAGTGTCAAGGCTTCAGCCAGCTCACTGGTTATTCTTATTCTGCCCTTTGCTTTCAGAAACCTGGAGGAGATCACGTATCAGGATGCAGATTGCCCGTTCCACCATAACAGTTATGGTGGAAGTTTGGAAAGAACAGCTTAAAAGCTGTTTCTGCCTTCAGGTAAGTGCTGGAGCAGCACGCATGTGGTGGCACTGCTTGTGTTGAACAGCACCATCAGCCAGTCCTTAAGCTGACTGCAGCCATCTGAACTACTGCTACACCCCATAACCCTTCCCTCCATCTCAATGGAAGCACGGCTTAGATTCCCTTGTTTTCATCTCCTGGAAACCTAATAGGGTACCTTGGAAGCAAGTGGACGATTGCAACATAGGAATGTGGAGGTTGGGATCTGAGTGCAAAGCCTTACTGCATATTTGCACAGTAGAACACAAATGAAGCCATTTCCAAACAAGGGACAAGCAACACGGCATGACACATTTTCAGCATTAATATTAATCTCTTTATGTATAATAATAATAAGGAAGAAGTTCTTTACTGTAAGGGTGGTGAGGCACTGGAATGGGTTGCCCAGGGAAGTTGTGAATGCTCCATCCCTGGCAGTGTTCAAGGCCAGGTTGGACAGAGCCTTGCGTGACATGGTTTAGTGTGAGGTGTCCCTGCCCATGGCAGGGGGATTGGAACTGGATGATCTTAAGGTCCTTTCCAACCCTAACTATTTGATGATTCTATGATCATGGAATCATTCGGGTTGTAAAGCACCTTAGGATCATCTGGCTCCAACCTAGAATCATCTACTGGAGAAAGAAAAGAAATAGATAAAAGCAAAAGAAAGCAAGCATTCTCCATTTCCTACTGATACAACAGCAAGTGAAGAAATGAAGTTATTACTGTTCTTTGTTCTCATTAAAATAAGACCACCAACACCTGTTCAAACAATAGTTCAGATTTACAAAAAAAAAAAAGAAGAAAATATATGGGGGTTTTTTGGTTTTTAAAAAAACCCTAACCTGCTACTAAACCAACCAACTTGTAGAAATTCTAGAGATCACTCCCACTGCAGCATTCAGACTATGAGAGTAAGGCAAGGAACATACAAAACCCTAAAGGAATTTATGAAGTGTGAAAAGCAAATCAATGCTCCTGGTTGGTAACACACTGTACTATTGAATGTAGATATATATATATACCTATATTCAATAGATATATATACACGAGATACATATATATGTAAGATATACATAACTATTGAATATATAACGTGATTCTGTGATTGTTAGCAGATATAACATATAATATAGATATCTATATATTCAATATATATATATACAATATATATGATATATATAACTGTTGAATATATAATATATATATCTATAGTCAATACATATATATCTATTGAATATATACTCTGATATTTCAGAATATCACTGATGTTTGAGACCCAATTTAAAACATATATATTTACTATATGCATATTTACAACATATATCTTGTATATCTATACTGAATACAGATATATATTTGTATCTTATATATATTATATATTCAATAGTTATGTATATATCTTGTATATATATCTACTGAATATATAGTCTGATATTTCAGAATATCGCTCTGATGTTTGAGACCCAATTTACAACACTACCTTTATGGGGCCTTGAAAACATATCCACCCCAAAACTATGTGACATCCTTACTTCCATGTAATAGAGTAAGAAAAAAAGTTTCCACCTCCTTATCTAATAACCCCACATAGAGCAAAACACACTTTGCAGAGGAAAACCATTTCAGAATTGAGCATGCAAACAATTCTTACTAGGGATTTAAATGAGAAACTGGAACAGCAAGGCAACTATACAAATACGTTATTCTTCTCTTCCTCTCAGCTGCCAGCCATTTTATTTTGAGACAACAAAGTCCTCCTGTTGGAATGAAAAGGAGAATGAAGGCCTGGAAAATTATTTCATAATGAAACACAAGCACAAATATGATGCATGGAATAGAAATAGTGTTAATCACACATAGTAAAGGCCTCCCTGTTTGCAATGAAATGGCTTCATTATTAGTGGCCTATTCTTCGACATCTGTGCTTTTTGATGGGCAGGACACGCTCTGACATGTTTCCTACACCACTGCCTTCACCCCGTTGGTGGCACACAGGATTTATTTCATCCTTCCAGACAGAAAGCTCAGCCAAGCCCCAGGCCTCCTGAATTCAGCTATGTGCCTCCCACTCCTTCCTCTGTCACTCCTTCACCTGGCTCTGCTCCCAGATGGAAAGCTGAATTGAGAAGCACGCAAAGAACCATTTGCCCCTGTCCTTCACCATGAAAACCGGTAGCACTGAATTGCTAATCCAGAAAACATTATTTCGGTGGCAAAATATTTATGCCTGCAGAAAGCCTGACGGGAAACAAAGTCACCCCTCCAATGATGTTCTAGTATGAGGTTGGGTTTTCTGTTTGGTTGGTGTTTAGTTTCTCCCCTTGTTAGTTCTGTTTGCCTGCAGAGTGTTTATGGTGCGGATTTCTTGTTTGGTTGGGGTTTAGGGTTAAGAAGGGTAAAGCTTTAGTGTTAAGAAGGGTAAAGAAATGAAGGCTGTAAGCAAAACAACTTTCACTTATACCGCAGCATTTTTTGCCTATTTTCGGAAATTCAAAATAAGACAAATATAATCTACTCACAAAAAAAAAGCCACGTTTGAGAGGAAACCAGGGCTATCCTATAATGAACCTTCCCAGCTGGGAAACAGCAGTCAGAGACCCATTCCTCTGTGCGCAGGCTGTCTTATATCCATCTGCCTCATGAAAGAGGGAGTTATGTACTGTGCTTATCATCTGAAAGGCTGGTATTCAGCTGTCACTTCAGTACAAAGTATCCTGAAAAGTCTCCCAAAACTGAGCTGCTTCTATGTTGTTCTCAACTACCTTGTCTCTCACTGTTAAGAAAACCAGCTGTACGTCAAAGCAAATCCACTGAACTAAGCAAAGCCACACAGATAAAGTAAGAAGTGTCTTAACTTTTAAGCCAAATCTTAGAAACAGTGTTCCCCAAATCAAATAAATACTAGAGGATACCACTATAATGGCTCTTCCAGAAATAATTCCCATCTTTCCTACAGACAAAGCAATGGAAAGTGTGTGCAAGTACTTGTTGTTGCAAAGTTCCCCAATTGACCGCAATCTCCTGCATAAGACTTCCATATTTACCAACCTTTCAGTTTTTTTTGGCCACCAAAACTTAGGTTTCTGATACTTAAACACTGTAGCTAATCAGTCAATTTGCTATTTGCAGCTTAAGAGACAGAATCTGTGTTATTGGTAGCAACTTCCAAACTTCAAAAACTAACAGTCAAGGCATCTTCGATTCCTATTCACGGTATTAAGTGATCTATAGATGGTATCTATGAGGTATTTTGAAGCTGTTTTATAGCACTTGTGTAACATTCAAGGTACACTGAAGTTCAGCATCTCTTTGAATAGCCATATTTAGACGCAAACATCTTGAAACAAAGACTTTAATGCTCTTTAAGTTCCATAAAGTTCCTGCTTGAAATAAAACCTGAATGTTTCAGTTGCCAAACAGGTAATCCCCACTGCTCTGCTGGTGCTTTCTGCAGAATGGATTCTTTTTTCATTGGATCTAGCATCTTTTTAGGTGTCTCTTCAAATTTACTTGGTCCGGGTTCATTTAATCCGCTCAGCGTTTCTTAGGTCACAGCATGTATCCAATGACAAGCTTAAAGAATATCCTGTCCTGTTGCTATAGCTTTTTAAACACAAGTATATTATTTGACCACTTAGAAAGCTTTCTGCATGGCAAAACATGGGTAAGATATCCCAAGAGAGAGCAACAAACCAATGCTTAAAGAAACCCAACCAGCCAACCAAAAACATCACGCTGGCCCTTACATCCCTTTGTGAAATAGCCTCACAGACAACACAAGCCTCCCTACAACTGTTTACATGGAACTTTATCCCCCTGCAGACCGCTAGGTCATGAGAACTGACTATAGATCTTTTTAACCAGCCAGGCTGAAATGCAAGTACCTTGCAAACCCTGGAATACACCCGTGATGCTGTGGATAGCATTCAGGTTGAGACGTGTATGTGATAGGTAAATCAAAGGAATTCATTCAGAATAACAGCCTTGATTTTGCTTCAATCCAGGCATTCAGCCTGTTAAATAGACTGCTTTACACTGGTGTAGTCTACAGTAAAGCTCTGTTAGTTGAGGCAGGTAGGAAATGGTGTAACTTTGTACCAGAAGGGCATCACTGAGAAACCTCCAGCATGGTTGAAGGCTGCTCACAGCATGCCTGTCACTGGGTTGAAGTGCAAAGTTCACCTCTCTGCTTGGCAGAGGATGAAGATAGGAGTTTCCCAAAGCTTGTGCACCAGCACTTGAGAAAAGGCTGCTCAGTTTGCCACCAAATAAGTGACTTATTGCCAAATCTTCTGAAGACACTTGGAATGTTTTCAGGGAGAATTGAGGTGGATGCATGCTCTGCAACTGGCATGCAAGGCAAATGCCTGAGGGATGGGACATCAACACTGAGCCCCAGCTCTTCGTCTGATTCTCAAGCATCTATCATGGAGAGGGTGAAACAACAGAAATAAAAGCTCAGCAAAACCCAACCGTCCTTTCAACAGCAGAAGCAGAAGAGAAGAAACTTTGACTGAGAAAGGTCCCCAAGCCACCCAGACAAAAAGAAGCTGTTGTTTTCCTTTAAAAACCAGGCATCTCGGCAAGTTTGGAAAAGCTCTGCTTGTTTTCTAGTGCAGAATGAAAAGAAGTATTGAAGCCCCAGATAATGGCCTCAGATACACAGTGGTATCTTCCAGCCAGCATCATTAGCTCTCTATCATGCTGTCACAAAAAAGCATGCCCAGAAATATGTACTTAAGCATTGCTCCTTGTTCCAACACAAACAGAAGGATAATAGAGGATAAAACCAGAAAAAGGCTTTCTCGAAGATATTATTCTCTTTTGGGTGAACCAACTTCAACGCTTTAAAGATTATAACCAGATTTCACAGGTCACAAGTCACCACAAAAAGCAGACTGAGGCCTGCAGCGAGCTGCTCAGATAGGAGCTAACAAGCTGGAGGTGATTTCCCCATTACAGTGTGGTATTTGTGGAGAGGTAATACACCCTACATATAGCATTCAGAATGACTGTAGCTCCACAGGTATTGTTGGCATTCTAAGGATTCAGCCAGGAACACAACAGTGGAATTATATACAAAATAAATGGCAAGTAACTTTTAGCATCTAGAAACTCATAAAATCAGATGGCGAAAGGGTGATCAAACTGCACTGGGACTGAAGTTTTACAGCAAGCTAATTAATGAGGCCTTCAGGGAAACATGCACATTAGGAATATGGACTACGCATTTCCCTAAGCTGGTCACTGTATAAAGGAATAGCATCAGCTAGTCAGTATTACTCTATATAAAGTAATGTTCCTTCATGCAAAAAGGATCCAGGCTAGCACCTCACATTTTCACAACTCAAGACTGGAATCATCTGAAAAGATACAGACTAAGACTGATAGAAACTAGGCCATATTAAATGAACAGAGACTGAATAACTTAAAAGTCCACTGCAGAAGTCACATCCTGGTATCGCAGTTAATCAAATCCCATGATAAATGGGAAGGAACACAAGCAATTGAAGTCCTTCAAATCCTGTTTCTATTGCAACTCTAACACAACAAACACCCACTGCTAAACACTGCTCACCTAATTTACCCCCTCTGCCACACTGAACAGGTATTTACATGAAGTCCTGACCCTGTGCTACACTGGCACATATGTAGGGCCAGGAACCCAGATGCCCTCTCAGGCAGCAGAGTGTGAGACACCACTTCTCTTGCTTGACACAGAAGGGCTTCAACCTCTGAGACATGAGCTGAGGAAGAAGGGGCACAGTGCTTTCAGTTTAAACACAGAATCACAGAATAGTTTGGGTTGGAAAGGACCTTAAGATCATCCAGTTCCAACCCCCGTGCCATGGGCAGGGACACCTCACACTAAAACATGTCACGCAAGGCTCTGTCCAAGCTGGCCTTGAACACTGCCAGGGATGGAGCATTCACAGCTTCCCTGGCAACCCATTCCAGTGCCTCACCACCCTCACAGTAAAGAGCTTCTTCCTCATATCCAATCTAAACTTCCCTATTTCAGTTTTAACCTGTCACCCCTTGTCCTGTCACTACAGTCCCTAATGAAGAGCTTTTCTGCATTTAGGCAGCTTTGTTCAGTTTCCAAACTAAAGTGTAGGTTCTGTGTAGGTAGGTGCACGTAACAGCGGTGTCTTGCAGCAAGAAATCATGTCCTGCATGACCCATGACATGGCACAAGGATGTATGATAGGTATCAGGCTTAATGGTTCCAAGTCTGACACCTAGCAAGTGGTGTAGGGCATAGGAAACCTGTGAAGTTAACTGTATGTACTACCTGCTGGGGATGGCCCCCTTAGAAGTTACAGCTGGATCCATATGCAGGCATTGGCTGGGGAACCACTAATATCCAACAGCCAGAATGATGCCAGGAGGTGTGTTTAACATCCTCAGCCTAGTTAAAACATGAACCACATAACCTTGTCAAGCAATGTATCACTGACTGACCCGGCTCCTGCTTCAGTCACCAGTGCAGTCACAGCACTCCAGTGTGGTTCTCCTCATCTGGCACGCAACAAAGGGGCTTTGAAAGTCTGCAAGGCAGCATCTGTACTTCTTACTGCTCTCCTTGCCTGGTCACTCTTGGATCCACTCTAGAGGGTGATCCCAGACCTCTGCCACATCACCTCTTCAAAGTCTGCTTCTTACAAACTCATTTATGTTTGGAGTGGTTGTTCTAGAACAAAGTTGCATTTTTCTTTTGAGCACTTCACCTTTTTCTCCTGATCCTTCAAATAAAATAATTCAGAACCAACTCCTTGCCATTTAACTCCCAGGTTGATCTGAAAATATTTATAGAATCAATGGAAAGCTCACATGCATTTTACCATTAAGAAGTTGTATTTGGGGTATGTGTTCATTTCTCTCTCTTCTCAGTGAAGACTTTTGTGTCTCTGGCAGTAGCAGGCTTACTAGATAAACCCCTGTTAGTGGCAGATGCTTTAGGTTTAAGTTCGCAGTACACAGGTCTGATACTCCTGAAACCATCTCCTTACCTTAAATCACATTACCATCATGATACAAGTATCTAAAACTTCAGGAATTGAGATATTGTGCACTGGCATTTCTAAACATATTCATAGAATTTGAAGTCAGACACAGCTACTTTTGATCTAGGTAAGCAAGAGTGAAACTACCAATGACCTTCAAGTTTATGTGATGTCTGAAGCCTAAGGCCTCTCCCTCCTCTAATTTTTGCCTTTCATTCTGTTTTGAGCAATAAGCCTAGAAAGCTGAGTTAATCCATGATCAGGTCATCACATTGACAAGGACATTACAGTGATCCTGATTTCTCCTTAGGTCAACAACAGGAAGCAGACTCATTTGAGTGCAGTTCTCCATCACATTACGCTGTTTGTCTTAAAAACACAAAGAGGATGCTGTGAGCAGAAGAAAGCCTTTCCCTTAAAGGCACATCACTCTGTATGAGCGGGTTTCTCTCCAACATACCTCTTCTGCCATTCCCTGACCATACTTACACTGGACACCTTAGTGGCCCTCCATGAAAACATGAAAGATGACTGAATTACTTCTGCTAAGACTCCTGCCTGAAAGCAAATCACAAGCCACATACCCTGCTCTGCTTTAGACCCTACCTTCATGATTGGTGGTCCTGTATTGGTCCTCAGCAGTAGCAGTGGGAAACAGCTTTTAAAATTGCATGCAACTGAAGCAACCTCTAATAACTGCAAATATATTATTACAAAGTTCGCTTGCCTGATATTACAGTCTCAACAAAGTCTCATTCTTCTCTGCAGATGACGTTATTATAGGCTTTATGAAAACCATTGGGTTCTGTGCATTAGCGACTCACCACTTCAACCCCTCCTGCTTATCCTCCTCCTCCAACACAGCGTGATCAGAATCAGAACGATGAAGACAATTAAAATCCCCCCAGTAATCGGCAGCCAAAGCCACGAGGAACCTGCTTCTGAAAGAAAAATAACACACAAAAAAACCCCAAACCAAACTAAGCTATTTTATATAGGAAAAAGAAAAAAAAGAGGCAAAACACACACACAAAAACCACCCCAAACTAAGCTATTTTATATAGGAAAAAAGAACAAAAAAAGAGGCAAAACACACAAAAAAAACCCCAAACCAAACTAAGCTATTTTATATACAAAAAAGAACAAAAAAGAGGCAAAACACACAAAAAAACCACCCCCAAACTAAGCTATTTTATATAGAAAAAAGAACAAGAAAAGAGGCAAAACACACAAAAAAAATCCCCAAACCAAACTAAGCTATTTTTATGTAAGAAAAAGAACAAAAAAGAGGCAAAACACACAAAAAAACCCAAAACCAAACTAAGCTATTTTATATAGGAAAAAGAACAAGAAAAGAGGCAAAACACACAAAAAAAAACCCAAACCAAACTAAGCTATTTTATATAAGAAAAAGAACAAAAAAGAAGCAAAACACACAAAAAAAAAAACCAAAACCAAACTAAGCTATTTTATATAAGAAAAAGAACAAAAAAGAGGCAAAACACACACACAAAAAAACAAACCAAAACCAAGCTAATCTATTTTATATAGGAAAAAGAACAAAAAAGAGGCAAAACACACACAAAAAAACCACCCCAAACCAAACTAAGCTATTTTATATAGGAAAAAGAACAAAAAAAGAGGCAAGAGGATGTTTGATTAACGACAACGGTTCCTCACTGATACTGTGAAAGCTGATTTTTCATTCTCCTAGCAAGGAACAACAACAGTCTTGGTTTCCTGCTTTCTGAGATACACATTTCCTTTTTAAAAGGCCAAAAGAAAAGAATATTTTATTGGAGACAGGACAACACTACTATGCTTTTTCAGTTACTGTCACTCAGAATTAAGAACAAATTTGCTTTTGAACTCTTAGGAAGAATACATGAAAAGTCAGATTTTACTCTGTACTGCTATTCCTATAACAATCCCTTCCTGAGCACATAATTTGGGAATTAATCCCAAGCTGCTTTTCCTGTCTTCTTAATTTCCAAGTGGTCTTCCTGTCAAGTCTCTGGATTTGGAAACACACGAATTTTAAATCACCTAAGTCAATGTTCCTGTGTGAACCAAGGATGGTTCTTCAGCTTTTAAGGTTTCTATTTCTCATCTATAGAACTGGCAGGAAAGTCTTTCCAGCAGAACAGAACATAGAAAGAACGAGGTATTCAGGCACTACATTGATGTATTTAAGATGTCCCCATTTATTTGTGGTCTGTCAAAGACACCATGTAGTCTTAAGTGAAAATTGAAGTCTGACTTGCTGCAAAAAAGCATGGTGCCTCTGAAACCCATAGGCCCCTAGGTGACTAGTTTGGCTTTATTCCCTCTTGGAGGGGACCATAATATGTTATTATCTCAAAGATGACAATGAACACAAAGCAGGATTTCCTTTCTTCTTCCTTGGCATATACGTATTTCACTCCCCCCTCTTCCCAACAGATTCCTATCTAAACATGCTATTGCAAAACACGCTATTGCAAAACACGGAAGCCAAGAGAACACCACCAAGGAGTTTGTATTGCCCACCTACCTTCTTTCATTTTCACAGGCAATTCTCTTTTTTCATTCATGTTGCTTACTCTGCAGGTCAAGTCCTGCTCTCCGATGCTCTTAATGTTATAGATCTCCAGTTTACTGCTGATGGACACCATCCCATTGGTGTGGCTGACCTTCTCCTGTGTAGGAGTAGAATTGAACAACTTGTTCCAGGTGATGGTGGGTTCTGGGAGGCCAACAGCATGACAGACAGCTATCAAGTGACCTTCAGAAATGTGGTAATGGACAGATGCATCGAGACCTTCCAACACACAAAGTGAGACAATCCATCACCACAATGAGCACCTAATCATAAGCAGAGCTAATCTGACTGGATTCACACTGAGCCCAATGCTACAGGAATGCAAAAAGAGTTCACTGGGTCCCCTCATTATTCCATACCCCTTCCCTTACACTGAAGCTATATAGCCAAAAGTTTCACTCAACCTAAAATCCCAGGTTTTAAAAATAATCTAAGTAAAATCATTTCTTGGTCCATGCTGTTGTCCTATCTGCCAATTCCCTATCAGTGGCAGGGTTTGGCACAGCAGCTCACAGCACCAGGGCTGTATCTGGTACCAAGAATAAACTGCAACAGGCAATATTGGTTTGCCCAAGCTCCAGCTGGGACTACTCGGGGGCTGATAAACAAATATCCCACTCCTTGCTTTTTAACTGTTACTCAAACAAGGACAGCCCAGAGCCAAAACCACCACAATAGGCTTGAATATGACCCCATAGAATCTTGCTCACAGCACTAATGCTCTGTTTCTATGCCGTGCTCCACTGAGGGATGCTCCTGCCACTGTGGTTCCTGAATCTGCTCAAGGAAATGCTGTGGGTGAGAAAACACCCCTTTTTCCACTAGAGAAATATCCCTACAGAGAATCCTACCAAAGACACTCAGGCAGGTCCGTCCTGAGAGGGAGCCGTAAGGGAAAGTATTGAAGAGACACGTGTAACATCCCGAATCGTTCATTCTAGTGTCCCAAAAAGTGATGCTCGTCTCATTGAGTACCAGACTGGTGAAATTCAGTCGGCCTTGATAGGGCTCATGAATCTTCAATCCTTTTACTGTACTGTATGTAGCTATATTATTGTGTGATTTTTCAGAGTCCTTTTGCCACGTCACTTGCAGAACATCCTTGGGTTCGGTCAGGGTACAGCCGAGAGTCACGTTGTCACCCACCTTTGCGTTTCTGTGTTCAGCCTGTGGAACAACTGCAATGGTATGAAGTGGTGAAACAGGCAGATATCACACATATTCAAGAGCTTAATTCTGATTCTAAGAATTACCTGGATTACCCAACAGATGCAACAATTCCAACAATTACATACTGCTTCTGCAGTTTCCCCCCCTGCCAAAAAGCCCTTCCCCTGCATCCTCCTAGAAATCAATGAAGTTACGTGGATTTACATCAACATAATGATTAGAAGAAAAGGCTCTGCCTTTCTTCTAAACTCTTTAAATGAAAAAGACATATTTGCTTCTGAGGGGAGGATCTGCTATGGGAAATTGTGAACTCAGGTGAAAATCAGTGTCCAATGTCATTGTAGATATGGGATGCTGCTCTAGGAGGTCTTGTCTCACACCTGCCACCTCCATAGCGATGCCTCAGCCATCTATTGTAATCAAATGGCACCAGCGATCTGCATTTCACCTATTTTTGCCTCTGACTGTTGAAGCCTCAGGAATCCAGAACCGGCTGCCCAGCCATTTTCAGGCAGATTTCATAGAATGGCTTGGATGGGAAAGGACCTTAAAATCATACAGTTCCAACCCCCCACCTCCCATCCACAGGCAGGGGCATCTCACATGCGCAAGGCTCTGTCCAACCTGGCCTTGAACACTGTGAGGGTTGGAGCATTTACCACTTCTTTGGGCAACCCATTCCAGTGTCTCACCACCCTTACAGTAAAGAACTTCTTCCTCATATGTAACCCAAGCTTCCCCTATTTAAGTTTGAACCCATTACCCCTTGTCCTATCACTACAGTCCCTAACAAAGAGTCCCTCTCCAGCATCCCTGTAGGTCCCTTTCAGATATAGGAAGGCCACTGTGAGGTCTCCACGCAGCCTTCTCTTCTCCAAGCTGAACATCCCCAACTTTCTCAGCCTATCTTCATGCAGCAGGTGCTTCAGCCCCCTTATGCTCCTCATGGCCCTCCTCTGGACTTGCTCCATGGATGGATAAGGAAATGCTAAGAAAACTTAGAAGGGAAAAAGGAGAACATAGAAAGTGGAAGCAAGGACTGGTGGCCTGGGAAGAATACAGGGACATTGTCTGGGTGGCTAGGGATCAGGTCAGGAAACCTAAAGCCCAGTTAGAATTGTCTGGCCAGGCATGTCAAGGATTAACAGGAAAGGCTTCTGTAGGTACATTTGTAACAAAAGACAGACTAGGGATAATGTGGGCCCTCTCTGGAAGCTAATGGGAGAACTGGCTACCCCAGATCTGTAGAAGGCTGAGGTTCTCAATGACTTCTTCGCCTATAACATTCCATGCCAACACTTCAGTCATAGGATCCATCCTACTGTGTTTCTCCGATTCCAATGATACCATATCCCCACATACATGTACACATCTCTAATTCCTCTTGTTTATTCCCCCCCATCTTGTTTGTTTAGGGGCGTCTGGGCTGAGCTCTGAATAAAGCCATCTCATTGGCTGGAGTGGCTCTGCATCACTCTGAGCATTCATTACAGGTGCTGGTATCCACTGGCAGTGTTGGGATGGATCTGTGCCCCTCTCCCCCAGGAAATCTAATTTAGAGCTGCCTTATCCAGCCTGGCAAGTCTCCTACCAAAGCAGCTCCCCCTTGTCAGACCAGCCACCAGTAGACCTGGCCACCCAAATCTAGTCCAATGTTCCAAATAACCAAACCCCTGACTATGGCACTACTGTACTTATCATTTATTAACCTAACAGATCCACATGGCCTTTTCAAGCTCCTCCCCTCTGACCCTGAGGATCAATCTAAAAACTATCTGAGCTCCAGGGCCCCTAACTACCTCTCCCAGGGCTCTGTAGTCCTTAATGCTTTCCACATCACTAACACCAGCATGGACACTAGAATGAGGTAATAGTCAGTATGACTCGCTAGACAGGCAGCCTGTAATAACACCCCTGATCCAAGCCCCCAGTAGGCAACACACCTCTGTCCAGACTGGGTCAGGCTGACAGATGGGTGCCTCTGTGCCTTTCAAAGTAGGGTCACCTACTATTAGGACCCACTGCTTTTTCCTGGAGGCAACAGTATGATCCCCTGTATTGGTGTCAGCTTGTTGGTCATTTGGTGTGGTGGATGTTGCCTCATTAGCTCCCTGCAGAGCTGTGAAGCAGTTCTGGGTGGGGATGTTGGGTTTTGGAGGAAGCCCCTTGCTTTTAATTGTCCTCTTCCTCCTTTTATTGTTGGATTTCTCTTATTTGTTACAAATTCCCAACTCCTGGAGCAATGAATGCCCTCTTTTCTGCTCGTACAACAGCGGATGCCTGTGGCCTCGGCACATTTTGGCCTTGGAACCAGTAGTCCAGCTCCCTCTCAGCTTCCCAGACATCTCTTAGTCTATTGACAGTGGGAGGTACTCACCTCATCAACACAACTTCAGGAAATTCAACTTACCATTTGCTTTCCCAAGCCCAGCACAAGCCAGACACAAAACCAGCGCTTGGAAAGTCATTCTGGAAGGTAATATCTTCTTCACCTGAAATAAAACAAGGAGAGATGGTTAACTCAATGACAAATCATCTTCTGGGATGCCATGTCTCTGGGGTATGAATACTCACAATAGCTTTGCTGTATAAGAACAACAGTTCTGGGAGCAGACAGAGAATTATAGCAGGTCTTAATACACAAAACAGAAAGTGCTCTGGTCAAGGTGGGGAAAAAATTGCATGGAAGTTAGAAGGGCATTAATCCATCAAAGTATGAGATATTGGTTGTCCAGCACTAGCTGTGGCACTGGGAGAGGTAGAGTGAGCTTGTGAGATCAAGGGGTAAACTGAAAGCAACTTCTCTGAGGACTTCAGGACTTCCCATCTGTCCAAAATTACATGAATTGGGGAAGTTTGGGGCCATAGTGCACCTGCTACACACAAATATATTTCCACAGTGGGAAATAGGCAAAAAACAGGTTACGTTGCTGCATTCCCTAGTGAACAGCTTTTGACCTGCTTCCCATTCCCTCACTCAGTTAATACTGCCACAATTCCCCTGAATTGTGGAATTGGAAGCTGGTGTCATATTTAAGTGGTATTGTGGTATAAACCCAGCTGGCAACTGAGTGCCATTCAGCCCGCAGTTATTCCTCTTTCCACCCTTCCCAGGTGGGATAGAGAAAGAATCGAAAGAATGTAAAACATATGGGTTAAATAAGAACATTTTAATAACTGAAGTATAGTACACCACTACTACTACTAATAGTAATGGAAATAATGAGAGATAGGAAAAGAGAGAAAGCAAAAATAAACCAGTAAGTGGTGATGTACAATACAATTGCACACCACCCATGGACCGATACCCAGCCTGTGCAGTGATCATTCCCTTCTGGATAAGTCCCCCCAGTTTCTATACTGGGCATGATGTGCTGTGGTATGGAATACCCCTTTGGCTAGTTTGGGTCAAGTGTCCTGTGTCTCTGCTCCCTCTCAGCTTCTCAGCCCCCTCCAGCACTGGCAGAGCACGAGAGATTGAAAAGTCTTTGATTGGGATAAGCGCTATGAGTAACAACTAAATCATCAATGTATTATCAGCATTGTCCCCAGACTAAAGCCAAAGCACAGCACTGCACCAGCTACTAGGAAGAAAATTAACTCTATCCCAGCCAAAACCAGGACAAATGGAAACATGATTTTGCATTAAATACCTCTGTAACACAAGTCAACTGTAAAGCATTTTCTGTTATCACACAGCTTAAAAAAGGAAGGTGGATGAAAAAAAACAGATGAGTTAGGGAAAAAATAAACTGTTTAAGAAAGAAATTCCCAGCAAACTTGTGCACACCCTAACCAGCAGCCTGCCTTTAAATTTTAAGCTCACTGTACTAAACCAGCTCCTGATACAACTCCACAGTTGCCAAGGCTGTAAAGATCAAGCCCAAGTATGTAAAAACATAGATATGTAAAATCAGGAAGCAAAAATCCATCAGCAACAAGCCCAATAAATAACGTATTCACCAGATAATACAGTGTAGCCAGATGCATGAGCACAGGTCTAATAAATGCATATATTCCTAAAACCATGCAGAAATCGAGGGCCAGCATAGCAGTTGAGACAGACATTTCAAGTTACAGAAGTGCTTATAAATCAGTAAAGGTTTATAAAGAAGTAATAGAAGTTTATAAACCAGGAAAGGTTTAGAAACTGGAGGAAAGCAGTTTTCAGTAACAGCCCTCCATCTCACTGCTTGAAGGCCCGTTAAAGCTTTTAACATGCCGTTGCTCGCAGCCTCTGTGGCTGCAATATTTCATGTAAAGAACCAGATTATGCAGCTAAACCGTTCGCAAAACCAAGTCTCAGCCACCAAGCCGTGTAAGGCAAAGGAAAGCAGTGAGCAAATCATTCATACTTAAGTCACACAGCTCACAGGTCTCTTGGATCACGGGCTGCATCCCTGCACTGCATCCGCCGCTCCTTCGGGACTGGTCTGGGAGAACCCTTCCATACCTCTTGCTCCCGGCGCAAGTACAGGGAACTGCTGCGTGCGTCCCGGCTCAACCACCCTGTCCTGGGTTCAGCTCTAACACTCAGCTACCGGCTGGCGTTAAATCACGACACAGTCGCTGCACCCATCGCCGCCGCTGCGTCTGCACCGCTTCCTCCCAGTTCACCGCTCCGGGCGGCGGACAGAACTCCCCGGCACAATGCATCGTGAGCGGCTCAGCGCTGCGGGGCACTGGCCTCTCCCCCGAGCCCCGCTGTGGGGTTTCGGCAGCTTTCCCTCACCCCGCACGACCACCCGCGGCTTACACCCCCTCCCCTCCTCTCCTCTCCCCCCCGTAAAACCCACCTCAAAGCATGGAAATGCGTCCGGAGAGCGGGAAAGCCGGCGAAGCCGAACTTCCATTCATGCATATGGGAAAGTGCAGGGCGGGCCCATCCATTGGGAGAGTGGAAAGAGGCGGGGGAAAAGATGAGCAGGGAAGTAAACGCGCCTCTGGTAGGTGGGAACGCCCGGTAAAGCTGCAGGCGCCTGCAATAGCAGGTAGGCATCAACTCAACCCTCCGTTGCCACTGGAACTGACTGCAAAGGGGTTCCCCACCCCGTTTTCTCTTTCTGTTCGGGGTTCTTGATATCGACCAAATGAGCAAACTGACCTTGAAAGAACAAATAAAAGCCTGAGAAATCATGTTCTTAAAGCAAGAACACGGTCAGACCTGAAGCACGGCGAGGTTTCAGCAGTACGAGGCTGACAGCACGGAGTTACTTCCAACAGTTCTCCAGGATGGATTATTGCACTGCTTTTGAACAGCAGCTGCAAAAACCTGAGCATCCTTCTGAGAAACGTTGGGTTGCATTCTAGCGTGCAGCAGAATAAGTTGCTTTTATGTTTAAAGCACGACCTTCCCTAGTTTAAGTCCAAGGGTAGCGACAGTCACACCAACAATGAATTTCCATTAAAGATCTCTGTCCTATCATCGAGCACTAAATTGAGAATCCAACAACAAGAACATAACGTAATAATAATGATTATTATCAATAGTAATACTAATAATAGCAATGGCAAAGAGCTGTGGCATTCACCATCCAAATACTGGACTGCAAATACTGAGTGTTCCAGAAAGTATCTGTAGGTTTCTTGAGCTTATTTGCTGTGAGGCTTCACTGGAAGTTGCACAAGAAAAGCAATGAGGTCTTGGTAAACCTGTGATCATTTTCTTCTTAATGACCACAAACTGTCATGATAAGCTGCACATCACTTGCCTGGCAATAGTCGGCACTAACTAGGCCAAAGCTCTGCCTCTTGTCTGGATCTTCAGCCCAGACAAAAAACATCTTTTTTTTCCTGATGTTAGGTTGTAGGAAATTAACATTAAAAAAAGAAAGCCAAAAAGCCAAAAAAAGAAACCAAAAAAACCCAAAGCCACCCCCAAAAAGCCTAAATACAACAACAACAAAAAAAAAAGAAATCAGTGAAAGATCTTATGGAAATGAAAGGTCATTTTATTACACAAAATCTCTAGGCAAGCTGATTTTATGCCCATAAGCTTTAGGAGCAGTCTGGCTCCTACAGGAACTTCTGGATTCCTCTTTACTAGTGATGAGAAAGAGCTTGGGTTATGTCTCTCATACCACTGGGAGTGGTCTTTGCTGCTACCTTCCTGTTGGGCTCAGAGGAAAAACACCAGCATGAGGGATACAGGGCAGTGTCGCTGCCATTTTCCTGTTAGACTACAGGATCTTCCACTCATAGGTCCCCTCTGTTGTAGTTTTACCAGGCTTGTCCCAGGCTTGACAGAAACAACCCATTTCTTGATTAGATTAATCAGAAACAACATCCTTTTCAATCAGTGTAGGACATTCAGTGTCTGCTGTTTGCTGTTTCTTCAGCTGCTTTCACACACACACCTACACGTGTCCATACATCGTTCATACCAACCATAATAGTCCCTTGCAAGGCTCCTAGAAGGTCTCCTGCTCTAAAACATACTTGCTTATGGGGAAAAATATCAGGCTTGACACAACGTCAACCCCAACCAAAATTAATTGACAAAGATGCCCACACACTGACCAAGAGGCCACATAGAACCAGAAACTTGATCTTACTAAAGACACGGATGTTGGGAATATTTGGAACACTGCTGCTAAATGGTCCTAAGGAATGGGGTGGTGTTTGAGGTTTTCCTGTGTCATTTTAGGCTCACCCACGTGTTAGCCATGCCTGTTCCACTGCTCTCACTATCTCAGTGCCCAAAGCAGTTGGCCTGCAAAGGAGGCAAGCCCCCATCACCCCACCAGATGAGGTCTAAGCTATTGCTGAATGCTGGGGTCAGGGCAGTGACTCTTCCAGCTGCTCTTGGAGACATCTTCTCCATCACCGTGCTCAATTTAGTGGAGCTGTTCCTCTGCCAGCGAGCAAACCACAGCCCAACCTTTGCCACTACCTTGGTTTCAACGTTTTCTTCTGTCTCCTAGGACTGATAAATACATCTCCAAGTCACTCAGATTTCCCCCTATGAGCCCTCCCCTCTTTGTTCCAAGTGGAGAATGGGTTCCCTCTAAAGCAGGTCAGATCTCCAGCAACTAAAGTACTACTTGTTTGAGGTTGACATACCTACACCCTTCACACAGGAAAAGTGTGTTAGCAAGTTTACTGTGTTCACCTGCCTTCACTACAACTGAGGGGATTTCAGAGGGAACTCTGGACAGCTGCAAACTACACAGCTTAAAATGAACTTATCCAGAAGTACCCTGTGCCATCAAGGCAACAAAAGCAGGAAAGTCCCAGGGACATCTTCCTGCTCTTATTTCATGAAAACAAAGGGGACATTTGAGGGACTTAAATGCTATTTTATATTAGCTCACCCTGTAACGCCTATCTATGGAGGTGAAACAATTCTAGATATATCTAAATGTTAATGCCCCTTCAGTGGGTTGGGAAAACTTAGAGAAGAGAAAACAAAATGAGGAAAGGGTCTGGAAAGTAAGAGGCTTGCTCTCTGCTTGTATAAATTAGTATATCTCCCTTAATCATCATACTCAAGCAATGCTTCCTCAAGTCATGAATGCTGGTTGTGTGGACCCTCTCAGAAGTGTGCTGCTTATTACACAGGCTAGCAAATATAGTTGCACCTCAGACAGTGCAAATCCTAGGGAGAAAGTCAGGTTGATAGCCAGGAAAGGGTATTTTATAAAAGAAAGGTGAGACAGACATTACAACATTTTATACTGATTTTTGCCATCCCAGAGAGCCTCCTTCAGCTCTTGGGACAGGCATACTAAATAAAGCAAGCGCGCTTGGGCTTGTCACCTGGGGCTTGTGAGCGAAGCTGGCTTTGGGACAGCTTTGGTTTCAGCATTTTGTTTGGTTTTGCTTCTCAAACTGATGAATTTCTTCCTTATGAAAGGAAATAACTGGAAGAAACATTTCATTCAATTCCATCAGGAAAAAGAACAGAGCACTTCTAAACTCCTGCCTGAAGAGTAGTGAAAACCAAGTCATCTGCCCTGTAGAAATCCAGTGCTGGACTACTTTAACAGAATCGAACAAGTGGGATGCTCTGGGAAAGCCAAACCTTCTTCTGCCTATTTGTTTTCTGGTATGAATTTCACTGTGTTTCCAGTTTTCCTTCTCAATCACCAAATCTACCTTTTTACTCTTAAAACCCCTACACTTTGCACTGAAGATAAATCATGTATTTATTGCCAGAAATACGGAGGTGAGGCTATTCCTCTCCTCCTCCTTCAGCCGGCTCTGAACATCTCAGCTGGCTTAACACCAGTAGCTATCTCCCAGTGTTGAGCCTGCACTAATTCCACTTCCTGGGAAAAAAAAGTGATTTTTGAAGAGCAGTAATTAAACTCACCCACCTTTTAGTTTGTCTTTATACACATATATTGACATCTTCCAGCCATAGCCACAACTGAAGATCGCATGTGTGCCCATGGTTACCATGGAAAGACACACAGATATTTCCCTTAAAAAATAAAAGTAATAGAATGAATGAGTGTTTAAGCATTTAATCTCAGGAAACTCTCATTACAAGTCTCATTACATTTCAGCACCACGTTGAAGCCCCCCATTGTAACCTACGTGCATGCGGGATGACAAATGCCAAGGCAAGCTGAATCAGCGTGTGGTTTTCAGAACCTAGGGAGCAGTTGTCCTTTAAGTGATGACTTGAGACTGACTGCTACGGGTCCCTTGGCCAAGATGCCAGGGTTTGTTTTCTAAAGGTCTGCTGACCAAGAGGCCCAGCTGCAGAAAATCCAGCTCTCCCAGGAGGCAACCCTGGGAAGAGCTCGTCAGTAGGACTTGGGCAGCCAAGATGCCTTCCCAGGTACTACCCAGTGCCTGCCATTCCCATTCCTCCTCTAGCACACCCCTGGCAGCTTGGAGAACAGACTTGGGAACATCCCCATGTCTCCTTCTCAGCTCCTTGCAGGCAGGACTGAAAACAAATGCCCAGATCCTTCTGTCAGTCCCTTTCAATGTCTTCTTTCCCAGCAACCACATAAAGCCGTAAGGTTGTTTCGTCATGTTGTTCCTGAATGTATTTAGATACGATAGTTGTAATTTCTTGATATCTAGGGTAATGTTGAATGGGAGACTCACTAGAGGAGTTTTCACTCTCATTCATGGTCTCTCCCGCTAGAGGGTACTCTGCTATTATAAAAGAAACTGCTCTGCTGAGGCTGAACAGTGACAGAGGCCCATGGTTTGGGTCATAGGTGGCTATGTCCTGGAACATCCATTTCTATCCTGCCAGTTAACTTGCAAATCATTCATTGAGAGCGAGAAGATGCAGCAGAAATTTGCCTGTGCACCAAGGCCTGCAACAATAACCTTAAAAAGCCCAACATCAGAGCAAGGGGAAAAGCAATTCACTTGGAGAAGGCTATAGTGCCAGCCACAATGTTCTCCTCTTGCAGGGCGCTGAAGCAAGGAACTCCATCACAAGGCTGTGTGGCACACTGGGAGATCATGGACACCTTGCTCTCTTGGTTGTCCATCACGTTATTAGCCTATGCTGTATATTTCCTGTGATGACAAGAAGAGTGGCAAAGGACGAGAGGGCAGGCAGGCATCCTCTGTAGTAAGCACAGGAAACTCAAGCCCAAGGCTTGTCAGCCTGCTTCTTCCCAATGCAATCCTCCCAGCTTGCCTTTGTCACTGGGAGCTCAGAGACCAGGCACAGCAGCCAGCCAGTAAAAGAGCTTTTGCTCCTGAGAGCATCCCTGCTCCCCTCTCTCAGGGATGCAGGGGAGGCAGAGCAGCCCAGTATGCCCCACAGCTAGAAGGCAGCACAAACGGCTGCAGAGGGTATGTCCCTGAGCCAGCCTCTCCCAATGGAAGTGTGTGCCTCCCAGACATGTGCATTGGAAATACAAACCCACTCTGTCCCTTGTGCTGAGGAGCTTAGCAACACTTACAAAGGAAGAGAAT